GTAGATCATGTGGCAAGCGCGTCTTGTGACTTTGGTCCTCATACAACTGTTGATTGGAAATAACTTAGGAATAGTGAGAGTAGCTTACACAACGAATCCTGATTATCTATCACCACAAGCTTTAGCTTAATTGTACCTATGAAACTGAACTACATTTTGTAACCGCTGTTCCAATACTATTCTATATAATCGATCAAATTTTTGGAGAATATGTGTGAGAATTGTCGTCTGTTTTTAGCGATTATCTCACTTTCTCTCTTTGCTTGTCGTGGCCGTGCTTGCAGAGGAGTCATTACCCCTATTCAATTTATTCATATTCATATGCCACCTTTCTCTTCCAACTATTGCGGCTGTACAGATTTTAAATGATTTAAAAGTCCTAAATGAATAAAAAACTATTTTGTGGTATATAGTTACGTGAAATTCTTATATGTATTGTATGCACTTATAACAATAGCTCTCTCGTTGCTTAGCAAGCCAAAGGGAAAATTAGTAGATGACTATCCTCATCCTTTGACTATGAGCGGTAAACAAAGTTGTTTGAAATAATGTATTTTGACATTAACACTTAACTAAGACGAAGATGCTTACGGATAAACTGAATTCATTCTCAAAATATAAATTGAAGACATGAACATATGGGGTAGACAGACAATCACATTGATGACTTAATAACGTAAGCGATAAAAGCAATATAATAAAATATGATTATATTTGAATTCGCGCGACGATCATAAAATGGAAAAATTAAAAGCAATAGCGTTAATAATAAAATATTTCAACACTATCTCCCATCAAAATTTTTAACTAAAATGTTTAGCTTTTTATTTAACCTATGGCACCTGTTGCCGATAATTGTGCATACATTTACATATGTGTCTATAAAATATTTTTTATTTATCAATTTGTTTTTTTTTTTTTTTTTTTTAAAGTCACAGGTAACTGGTTTTTTTGTGTGATAATTGCACAATTAAACTTCATATGCGTGTCGTATGTTCATTAATTAAATCCATTTGCACAAACACATACAAGTGCGAATAAATAAAACATAAAGAAATGGAAAAGAAAAGCAAAGCAAAAGGAATGCCCATATACTATATATATGTCTACTGATTGTATATAAATTCTATAAGCATTTCATTGCCGTGGGCTCAATTATTTGCTTTGAAACCATTACTTGGCAAAAATCGTTAATTTTTGTATATATTTAGTTGCTGTTATGTTACGTAGATAGAGCTAAGTGTTTTTTGCTTTTTTTTTTTTTTTTTTTGTGTTCATATTGTTGTATATTAATTGTCTTGTTTGTAACAGCAAAGCAAAATAGCAAACAAAAACAAAATGAAAGAAGAAATGAAATAAAAAAAAAAAAAAAAAACAAATGTGAATTATGTTTTTTAATTGTAGTTAATTTGTCTGAATTATTTTTTTAATTTCACACCATATTTCACGTCACATACGTACGTTGGGAAAGTCACTTTCGTTCTTATGCCTCGCACATATATACAAATATTATAAGAAATTTTGTAACATTTTTATTATTATTATGATTGTTTATCTCTTCTTCGCTTTAAACTTTCCATTTCAAAATTTTATGGTTCAAAATTTTACAAGTCACAAAAAGCCCATTAAAAAATTAAATACCGCGCGTGTAATGAAAAAGTCAGTGACATTAAGTATATATGATCAATAAGTACTAAAAGGCTATGAATAAAAAATATTAAAACTAGTTCGCTGTGGTACGACGATTACGTGGCGGCGATCAAAAAGCGGCAAGACTTTGTAAATTAGATCAAAGAAAGCTACGCCGCTTTGGTTAAAAAATAGAAAGATTATGGGATTAAGATAAAGAGTAAGTAGAGTAAAAGTACGAGGACTATGCAAATATTTTGTATAATAATTTGATCATGAGGGGACTGTGTTCCGAAAGAATATCGCGGTTATTCACCTAAGAATAAAAATATCGTGTCACAATTCGATGAAAAATTACGTCACACTCGCCATATTCTTCTCCAAATCTAGCCCTTAGCGACTATGATCTGCTTGTAAATCTCAACATAACGCTCAAGGGAAATAGATTTGAATCAAATGATGAGATTTTTGCTGAAAGTGAAATGAATTTTAAGCGTCTTGACAAAACGTTCTATAAAGATGGCATAAAAATGTTAGGGAAGCGTTGAACTAATTGTACAGGAAAGAATGCTGAAGAGTAAAGTTGACCTTTGGAGAAGAAAATATTATTTTTCTCATTTAATCTCAGAATTTATTGAATGATGATTACTTGATTAACGTCACTTAACTATTTGTTCCAGCGCGTCTTCTAGCTTCTCTTTCAAAGTTAACCGCTTTCCCTGCTTGGCTATTTTGTCGTGTCTGTGTCCAACCTAAAGTAAGTCAATCGTCGTTAATTTTTTGAAATTTGTTCAACGTTTCCTTTATCACAAAGTGAGTAGTTGATCGACTCCTTTTTGTTACATATATATTTTCCATTGCTATTGAAGCGTATATTGAACGATTTAGTTTTGTAATTTCTTTGGACGAATCAGGTGTGTTTGCGAATAGTATTTTTAGATTCGAATAGGCGCCTTATAAACACAACTGAAGGCTCACTAAAGGGTCAAACTGATCTAAATCACATACATCTGCTTTCGAAGGTCTTGGTTCGTCACTTTACAAATCGAATGACAAATGTATCGAACAACTATCCATCCATAAAAGTATAGCAAATCACTTTCGCATGCCAAACAGAGTGCACTTCAATAGAATCCTGCTAAAATAGTTTCATTTTTGCACACACATGTAATCGCTTAACTGCGCCAGAGTGTATGTAAATTTTTTATTGAAAAAAAAAGTAGAAAAACTCAAAAGTAAATAAATAAAAAATTGGATCGTTAATCGCACTTAACACCAATTGAACTTTATAGCGTTAAGCTAAGATTATCAACATGACAAATGTTTCTCTTGCAAGTCATGATAGGTTTTGACTTTAAAGTCTCTAAATGTGATTATTATTTATGGAGAATAATTTTTTTTTTTTTTCATTTTGTTGTTGCAAAATTTTCAACTTTTTTATGTTATAATTTCAGGAAAGACCATATGTAGCACATGTGTATGTTACATATCTCAAATTTAAGATGAAGTCTTGCGAATGCACATTCTCTCTTCAAGATGAATGTATTGTGAATGAATACAAAATGAAAGTGACTTTTGATCTTTGTACAATTTTTCTGGAATTTAATGAATTTTTTGCAATTTTTCATTTTTATTAATAGTACGATTAAAATTTTAAACAAGGCTAAGATATCAATTTAAACTAGACAAGTCATGCTTGTATGTATTGGATAAAGCAATATTCATTCATTAATTCTGTTTGGAGCACTTTTATTTTATTTCCTTTCTTCTTTAAAATGTTTGCCTCAGTCAAGATTTGGACGACTTTAAGACATATCCACGCTATGCGTATTTGTTCCGTTGACTTTCTTTCGGCAATTAAAATCGTTATCGGAAATTAGGATAAGGAACACATTTTTAAAATAAATTCTGCGGTTTAGCTTTAGGCTTTAACAGGCGAATGAAAACAGCGATATAACAATCTGGGTCGCGTGACATTCTAAATGAGCGCATAAGCTTAACGCTACAGAGTTGCTTACTGATCTCTGCTGGTACCTGCAAGAATGAACTCTAGTTTAGTGAACAAATTAGCCAGAAAGACAACAACTATTCCTGTTCTTGAAGGCTGACTAGTATTACATGCTAAATGATATTAGGAGGTAAGTTTTAATAGAAAAAGGTTATCCATCTCTATGCCAATTGACGAACAATCGTTTGGCAAGCTTCCTTTCCAAGAAAAATAATAGCGTTCTTATAGGTTTTTTCTATTTTATAACATTATTGTAAAATTTATTTTATTTATTGAACAAGTAAGAACACAATGCTGGGTCAGAGCCCGCATAATTATGCATTTATTCATATACCTATTTTTAAAACAAGGCGTTATCGGGGAAGTGGTCGAATAAGCAGTTCGAGCCGAACAATTTTCAATAGGGTTTCTGCTGACGAGCACCGTCCCCCTAATCAATTTATGACTTTCTTTTAAATTCTACAGCCTTGAAAAATCTAAACTTTTTATTACGATTTTCACTACCATAAATAATTGAATAACAGTCAAATAAATCAAATATTGGATAGAGAGACTACAACATCTCCATATATATTAACTTAGATCAACTTTGAAGTTTAGGCTTTGTGTGATCTCTAATTGGCATAGTAAGTGTTGCGACCCTAATGACACATCTATCATGCCATAGCCCTCTGTAGCAGGTTGCATAAGTATGGAACGAGTAAAGTATTCAATTGAGTTGAGATAAGAACAACTCGTTTCTAATTTTAATAAATTATGTCATGCAAATACTTTTTTTTCTATACACTAATAACTTTCATATAAATAAAATCCTTCTCATTAATGTTGTACGTGTAGTGAGATAAATTAAACCATCATTTGACTATTTATTTACTAGTGATACATCACCAATTGGCAATACTTCGTAGTGTATAGTTAAAAGCAAAATACCTAAAACTCTCCTCTGGCAATACCAGTAAGATATAATTTAGTTTAGTTTTACATCGTAACTTGACAAAATCACTTTCTTTTCGTTCGATGAATTCTGAAATTAGTGAAAAATTTGTTGAAATTGTTAAGAAATTACATTAAAAACTGCAGAAAAGCTCTCGATTATATATAGAAATGTTTTCTTTGTGAAATAACATAAAAAAAAAACAAATAAAATTTTAGAAAATTTCTTAAGCCTAGATGAACGAACTTTGCACTACTGATATGTTTGCATATATTTGGCTGGTTAATGTTCTTAAAAGAAAAATTGGGAAAAATCGTAAGAGAAAAAAGAAGTTTTTGATTAAATTAGAATTCGTAAGTTTTCGTGTAAACGTCGCGTGTGTACGAATGTGTTATTCATTGCGAGGGTATATCCCCTATTACAGATAAGTTAATTTCTTTACAAGATAAAAGAGAAAATCGAAATTAAAGTTCCCATAAGTTTTCCTTTTTTAATGTAAAATAAGAAATTATTTTAACAAAACTATAGCAAGTGGAGGAAATTACGCTTATATATCTCCAGTTCCCTTAACCTTAATGATAAAAATTTTGCGATAAAGTTCGTCTCTCTGGGTAATGGAACAACATTTTAAATCATTTCGTGTCCGTTTGTGTAATGGGCGTAACAAAGTTGGACATTTATTTGGCCGTTTATCCAAGGTGAGTAGGTATTATTATATGTTTGCTTTATTTGTGAATCATTTTATAACAAATTATTTGTTTATATGCGAAATGTGAAAACGTTTACTATTCAATGTAGAATGAATTTTAGAAGATTCTGCTGATCCACTAGTCGAAACAGATTGCTATTCGCATTTATTTAAATTTTTCTTAGTTAGAGGTATGTTTGTGAGCAGAAGATGTCCCTTTTGTAAGTTTTTGGGGTTTTTAGTTTTTCTTTTAGTTTGTTTTATCACCGTCAAAATACTGTCATTTTAAAATACCATCTATGATGTTATGCTGTTTCAAATTGACAATGCAAGCAAAGGGATGAAAACAAGAAGATAAATTGGCGTTCTTTGTAACATAATACGACGTTCAAGCTTTGTAGCATGATCAAAATAGCGTTTTGGATTACGAAATCTGATATTGTCACGGATGCTATAAGGCTAGTCGTGCTTAAATGTTGTTGTTAGCCTATGGGTTTGAACAGGGGCACTTATGTACTTGTTTTATTTCGCCATAGCAGACCAAAAAAAAGAGGAACCAAAACACATTTTTGATATTTTTGACATATTGGAGAAGTCGTATTGCTAGCGCTGCCAGCGACGCTAATGGGGATTTATATTCCTAGTACTGAGATTCGGCAGTTAAATGTAAGACGTAAACGGCATTTTTGAATTACAAGAATTTTATGCTGTTTTTGACATAGATGAGAAAATAAATCGAGTTTTGGTGCTTCTGGGGTATATTTCTGGAATTATTTGGAAAATTTAATATGCTTTCGAGGCATATCTTGGCTGATGGCGTTATGTCCGTTAACCGTTATTGGAAGCCTGTATATCAGGAAACAACGACTCTAATCAAGTTTGGTGTATAAATTCCTTATTTTCTAATATTAATGGCAAACAATGATGATGACCTTGTTAAGGACAATTGAATTTGTTATTATCTTTTGAAAAGATTCTGATACCCTACAAACCCGTAACTAGATCTATGTAATACGTAGCAACGTGAGTGTTACAATGAAGTCAATAGACTCACTGCACAGTTGCAATTATAGTAATAAAATGTGAAGTACATGTAAATTTTTATATTTATATATATGTATATAAAAGTATTTCCTTTTGAAACCTGATTTTTTGACCCAATTTCTCCTTTTTCTTTATGGAGCGATAATCAAATCATTACATCATTTTTATAGGCGCGTTAATAATACTTTAAATGAAAAATGCAGGAAAAAAGAGTAAAAAAAAAAAAAAAAAAAAAAACAAGAACACAAGTAGCCTTCAATATGCATAACGTTTACATGTAAACTATTTTCCAGCGGCACATACACAATATGCCTTCGCTTAACTCTAACAAATATGCGAACTAATAAAATATTGATCAACATTAAAACAAAGTTTAATAGTGAACCGTAGCCGTGGCAAAACAATAAAAAAAGCAAAAAAAAAAAACTAATTTATGATAATGAAAGCATATTTTCTTGAAAAAAAAAAAAAAAAACCCGCAATCGTGGATTATCCTGTAGGCCATTATACTGCAAGAAATTAAAAAAACGGAATTTACTTGTTGTCGTTATTCATGCATGTGCACACACCTACGGAAATTATCAGAGCGGTGGTAGTTCAGTAAAAACGGGGGAAACTTTTCTCATTTAAAGTAATTCTTGATTGTGTAAATCTAGATCCCAGCCACGAATTTAACGGGTCGATTGCATATATTGTAATTCTTCGAAGACATCATTAGATGTTTCGTTAGAGCACAAGATTTTAGTATGGTAGCAAAGAAAAGAGCTGACGATTAAGCTTAATTGGGCTGATTTTTCTTTTGAAATGTGGATCACGACCCGAAATAATGGTTGCGCAATTTGAAAATGATGCACGTTCCGATCAACTTCACTTTGAAATTGAAGAATTTTTTAGAATTTCAATTCAGCCTGATACAATGATGATTTTTTATTGTCACATATGTATCTACATACACATATATATTGTGGTAGAAAATTCAAATTCACTTGACGTTTATCGCATTTTTGAAAATTTTTGTTTTCTTTTTAAGCACCTTTTTGCTTGTTTCTACTACGGCTTGAAAATTTTCTTAACGGTATATTGTTCTGAAATATATAAATGTACGTATGTCTATATTCACTTATCATCGTTGTATTGTCTTTCACAGAAAAGAGTGTGAAACTGTGTCAGTAATCTCAAGTAGTGTTTTGTCCGCTCTTGCTTCACTTTTGAATTGCTTTGAAAGTGATACGCACTGTTAGACGTTATTGGCAGGAATGCGTTTAGAATTGTTGATGCCTTCTTAACTGATTATTCTCAATTTTTTCAATTTTATTATTGTTAGTTATATGGCTTGAAGCCATTGAGTTGGCATTATATGGGTGTTGTTATATGTTATATGTTATACGTTACTAATATTGTTTAGTAAGTATGAGTATAACGCCATGCACTTCAAGTGTGCACCACATCTATTTTAGATTATTTATAAGGTTCCAATAGCCATGCTTAGATTTATAAATTAAACACCTTTAGTAAACGGGTCAGTAGCAAACAAAATAAATGGAAATGATGTTAAACGTTGCTCATAGCTTGAGAATAAATTCATGTAATAACAGCATTATTTATGTTCTTTAAGTTAGAATCAATCATAACCAGATCAGACCTTTATGAATTTTGTTTGCTAACTATAGGAAAGGGCTGGTAAATGAATTTATTTGCTTTTAACGGGCTTTTTAGATAAGTCATGACTTCACATTTGCAAGTTTTGCGAAAGGGAGGAAACAATTGAAGACCACGCTAAAACGAGTCTTTTATACCTTCTATTATTATTATATTTTTCAAATTAGGAAACAATAGAATCTGACTTCCTTCACTATGACATACACAGCTTTTTTTATTGAGGAACACTTGACGATTGATCCAGAGAGCTTTTTCATCTTCAGATTAATGTTTCAAATTCGAAGAGCTATTGGAAAGTACATTGCGTTCAATGCGTATTTGCAGTTCGAGTTCGTATGAGCAGCGGAGTAGGTAATACCCGCGACGAGTAAGTGCTCGTGGGTTCAAATCTCCATAGTTCACTTCGGTTGTAGCCATAGACAGTACACGTCCACTAGACAGTAGCCACCAGCTCCCTATTTCTTCCTGCCTTTTCTCTTTCTTTATTTGTTTCTGACCGTCATCGCGTTACGCGAATAAAGGACGTCCCCTACTTTTATATTTTAATGCCTTCAGTCGCTGGCATCCTAAACCGGATAAAGCAAGTTTAACAAGTACTAAAAGAAAAAGTGGAGGAAAAATCTATGAATGAATAAAAAGATAGATAGAAATAGATTCTTTCTCTCATTCTTAAATCAAATCGAAACGGGATTGAGAGCAGATCAAGCTAAATTAGAGAATTAGTAGGGTGGGTGGGAACGATGTGTGTTGAATTTCTGGTGAAGAACTCTCCAAGGGCACTAAGGCAGGGCGAAAAGGTGCATAACCACGATGTAAAAACCACACATGTGGCAGCTCCAAGACTAACTTCGAACAGCAATCGACAAAATAACTCTTATGTAAGATAACGAAGAACAATTTATATATTTTTATGAATATGCGCTCGTAAGATGTCACACTCGGCTAATCAGAACTTTTATAAAAAATAACGGGAGCAAGGAATTTTCATATATTCTTATGAATATGCGCTCACAAGATATCACACTCTGACAAAAGGGCGCAATTGAGTGTTACAGCTACTGCTGGAGTTGGGCTGCTGTGAATGAAAATCGCCGAAGGAAGCATCTAATGAGCTTGGCAAAAAAATGGCAAACGAAGAACACAAGACACAAATCTTTAACCTTACGAAAGATAAAACTATACGAGAAGAAATTCACTATAACGGGAACAAATTTGTTGCCAAATCTTTTCTTTATCAGTCAAACCCAGATGGATGTGATCAATTTGAAAACAATAGTAAGAGAAAAGTGATAGTTCTTTCTCTTCTTTTTCTCCAATCTATTGTGAGAATTTCTGCCCTAAGCCTATAAAATATTTATTACCATCCAGCTCGTAGCCTTCATAATAATTCATGTGAGGTAGAATTCTAAATTATGTTACTTACATGTCTTGTGTTTGTTACACTTAAAACTCTGTAATAGGTTACATTTCGGTACAAATTTTAATCAACTTTACCTGCAAGGTATCTAAGATTCAATTTAAGACTAATCTACAGTTTTCTTCTTATTTTTAATGAAGTATTTTGTTGTAGTTGCAATTTTTTTTTCATTTTTGGGTCACACGATGTTCTTTAATTAAATGACCCGTTTTTTCCGTCAATCAGTCAGTCAGTTATAACAAGTTCCTTGTATGTTCTGCATATATATCGGTGCAGTGTATTAATCTCATTACATACTAGTACATATATGTGAAAATACACAGGATTACATATGAAAAACTATGATCAATTTAATGAGAAAACTGCCGAAAAAAAAAAAATAAAAGAAAAAAATAAAAGTCAGGTAAAAAACTTAACAATATTTCGTCAAAAACCCCAAACATGCAATCAATGATTTTACTTATTCAGCCGGTAACTATGAATGTTTTGTTTTGTTGGTTGTGGTGAGTAGCTTGTTTTGTTCTCTCATTGTTTGCCTATTGTCTATCGGTTTGTCCGTCTATCCGCCCCACTAACTGTCTGCCTACAGGTGCTTCTTGCTGATCGATATGTATGTATGTATATATATATATATGTATGTATGTATGAATGTATATATGCATATATATAAATATACGTGCACTGACAATATTACACCATTATATGCGCGCATATGTGTCATTTTTGAAGTAGTAACTAAGTTGAATTCTCATGCCAATCAATACCAAAAAAAAAAAAAAGAAGAAAAACAACAAAAATATATATATATTTATAAAAGAAAAATCGCATCCATTGAAAGGCAATAATTTAAAATAAATCCAAAAATGTATTAGAAATTCTTGATTAGCTCG